ATGCTCGCTACGGAGATCCTTTAGCTTTGTTCCTCTTTTTTTTTTTTTTTTCATCCCCCCGAGCTATCTCGAAGAGTCTCGCTTAGCGGTTTTCCCGGTAATTACCCGAAGAGCTCGAGGAAAGACTCCCATTTGCACCCCTCACCCGCCACCCTCGTACTTGTCCCATTGTTCGAGCGTGAAGGAAGCGATGGACGGCTTTTCTTCGAACTGATGCGCTTGTACTCCTTGTCTCTTTTTGAACTTTTTTCTGTTTTATGCTTCCTTGTTTTTTTTTTTTCATCATCTTGGGCTAATAAATTCATTCAATTACAAGAGACATTCGCCGCTTTTCTCGAGCACGGTTTTACTATACGCTAGGGCTTCGAATCAATCAATCGACTTCTCGTTGCAGCTTTACTTTGTCTCACTTCGTGATTCAATTAATCGAATACGGCATGTTTCCGCGCTTCGGTAAAATTTTATCACAAGCCATTATTATTACTGTTGTTGTTATTATTATTGATTGTTATTTTTATTTCTATATTGGAAGTATAAATTAATGAATAACTAACGTGACTTTCTTAATTGAATTCATACCAATTGCCATTAGTGAGTGGGAGATTTATGAATTCATCACATAGGGATATCTCGGATTTTCATTTTTATGAGAGTCATAGGGGGTGCCATTGCTCCTTTGACATCGTAAGGTCATTCGTCATTGCTCATGTCATCGTTTATTAACACAGAGTGTTATATTCGTGTATAGTATTGGTGTCGTATAAAACATTGGATGAGAAGGGCCAATCTTTTGTAATTTTAGAGTCGGGCTTGCCTACTTACTATTGATTGGCCACATAATATAATTTGTCACTCACCGTAACGATGGAAACAAAAATGCACCTTGACGATTGTATGATCAACTTTTCTTTTCTCACATGACTCGAAATCCAGCATAATGATACTTGAACCCACCGTGTGCGCCCATTACTTTCGATTCGCTCATCGCGTGGCATATCATCCCATAAAAGCACAAAGCCCGTGCACGCAAGAGGCTTTTGTTGGTCAGCCTAGTCGAGCGCGAAGAAATTTCATAAAATCTCACGGTAGTTCAATTATCATCGCCCTTCGGTCCTCTGACCGTTTGGCGCGCGGCGGCGTACAATGGCTCGATAGATACGCCGCTTCTTGCGCTTTAATTAAAAGTAAAATTGGATTTTGTGCGGGAGAAAGACCACATTCCAGCGAAATTTACCGTCTTTATTAACCGTTGATTAATACCGTTTTAACGTGTTTTAAAATTAAAAAAAGGCTCGACCCGACTTTTCCAGCGCTACGCCAGGGATTTTCCTTCGTGGGTTATTAGGTACTCGTGTGAAAGTCTCGGTAAATTTTTAACGCACGGATTTAAAACCAATAATGGCTTCGTAAGAGACTACAAAAGTTGGCCGACCTAAGGGTGTTATCGGAAAAGTGAACGAGATTTGGTAATAAACTCGGAAAATGTTTGAAAACGCAAAGCTTGGATTAGAGTGTTTCATGTTGAAGGGTGGACTTTTATACTCTTTTTTTCAAACAGATTGCAATTGTAAAAAAAAAAAAAAAAAAAAATGCGCTCAGCAATGAAGCGTAATGACAATGGACAATCACACCTTTTGTAAAACATATAAAATACTATGCCTCCGCTATCGATTATGCGAGCAGCAGTAGGAAAATCTGAAGAAAAAATGTACTAAAACCTAATCACGAAATACCTCACATTAATTTTGTACGAGCCAGTGACACCCATTCGCACAGTCCAAACTTTGAATCTGAATGTTTTTAACAGCTCCAACGTCAACTAAATAATACCACGCGCCAGCGTCGACGGTAAGTATCAAGTTTGCCGAATTTACATGAGCTCCTCGCGGGTACGTTAATATTTATTCAGACAACAACCAGCTCAGAGAGCATATCTGGACAGCTTTCATGTATTTAAAATCATAAAAGTAGATTAACATCGGAATTTAATAACCCTCAACTTACGAATATAGATTACATACCGCGTAAGCTCCCTGATATATTTAGTTTGGAAAAAAGTAGTCATCCATAAATAATCGAAGCCTGTGAAAAAGAACACCTCATCTTTGACCCCTAAAAACATCAATTTCCCCGGTCCAGCGATAAAAAGCCTCTTCCAAGATAAAGAGGCTGGGATCATTAAAACGGACAACAAAATTGATGACTGAGCCAACCCTTTCTCGCCTCCGGTGGAAAAAAGCTCTCGGACCCGAAAGCAAAAAAAAAAAAGTCACGCGAGAGAAAAAAATCCCCAACTCCGTGCCTCGCGTATCTTCACGGTCCAGCGCACTCATGCTCGCGCACAAAGCGAAGAACGCCACTATCCTTCTCCGTGAATTTCGGCGCCTTAATCGAGGTGCTGGGGCGAAAGACGGGGCAGCCTGCGATAATTACGCCAAATTTTTTTTTCCCCCTCGGTATTTTTGAGAAGGAAAAGATACTTACCGCGGAGAGAGGAGGAAGATGGAAGACTACAGGAATCAAGAGAGTGAGATACGTTGGAGGATTCTTTTTTTTTTAGTTGCGCGCACTTTTTCTCCAGTTCCATTTTCATTCTTAATGGAGATTGTTTTTCGAAAGGTGCTGATTTTGAAGTAACGCTCTTTTGAGATTGAGACTTTGGTGGCGATGAGGTTTCTTTGAGGTGTTGTAGGTAAAAAGGGAAGTAATGCTTGTCTCTTCTTTTTTTCAGTTCAAAAAGGACAAACCAACATCAAAAAAGAGATATTTTAGTTATGACAAATGAATTCTCGTCGTCCCCGACCCCTTTCTTCTACCCACATAGGATTGAGAGAGTATAATTAATGGAAAAGATGAAAAAGAGCCAATGAGGACACAAAGGACCCCATATGGGAATCCCAAAAGAGAAAAATGATACGTGGATCTCGCGAGCTTTCAAGGCAAGATTAAACGATGGGCCCTAGATCCTTTTTTGCCGGCTAATTGAAAACGAAATTATTTATCGCGCGTCTGTGGGATTAGAAAGTGAGATGGGCGAAAAAGGAAAAGGACCGAGGCGAGTCTTTCTTGTTCGCGTCTTAAGTAACATTTGCTGGCAGACTGAAATTGCATTTTTGCATGCGTGTAAGGAGAATAAATTGGTTATTCATTGAGATGCAAGGTCGTCAAGGCTCGGGAACTTTACGTTTGGTGAGAATGCAACAATCTGAGTCCCTTTTTTTTCTTTATGAAAAAAATTTGTTTTTGTGTAAAAAAAGTTGTTTTATTGTTAAAACTTTCATATTTTGTCTCACGTAGCAGAAATAGTGGGCAAGTCCTTATTTCTTTATTTAATGTTTCAAATTTCCACGTTAATGGAAACTTGAGTGAATATCAATAACAAGTTTTATTCATGATAACACATATTATATTGGTTTATTCATCATTCGGTGGTCAGGTTCAATTTTACCAGTAATATAAAGAGCACGGAAGAACAATTTTCTCCGACAAATTTAATTATTCCGGCGGAAAACGCGATCGCATTCGAATTCAGCAGCCAGAATAATTATCACGATTAATTAAATTTAACTTTATGCGTTTTCCATTATGCAACGGAGGAAGTAAACGAAGCTAGGCCCGAATCATTTAATTTCAGGAAAATAAACCTTCAAAACTAATCGTAACTATTCCACACAATTTGTTATAATATCGATGAAAATCATTGAAGAAAAATCTTTTGCGACAACATTTACTTTATCGGCACTGGCCAGTCATTATTGTGAGCGGTACCCACCACAAAGAGTTCGTCAAATCGCTAGGTGCTCCGACCGTATAATTAACAGCTCGTAAGCTCCAAGCGAATTTGTTCGAGTTAATTGGGTAGACCCAAAACCTGCACACTCCATCACTGGTACTCTCTCGAGAGCGCAGATGTTGATTATCGCACGTGGACTCACGTAACATCTATTCCATTGGATTGTTTAGCGAGTCCTCATAGAGGAAGAAAAGTGCGTAAGGATTTGGCTAGGCATTCGTATTTGACAATCTTTACCTTGTCTCGTTTAATCTTGCAAAATCCAGACTAGATCTCAACTAGGTCCTGGACCACAAGATTCGGGACATGACGAGAAATGTAGCACTAAGAAATGAGACGAAAAAAGAGTATTTTTGCAGAAATTTTTCTACAATTATGTCTCGTGTATAATAATCTATAATAAAACCGGCACTCAACCTGGCTCAAGTCATACACCATCTGTGACCAGTTTTAATGATCACAGCAATGCTTTTTTCAGCAATATGAAATGACAGTCCAGTTGGGACATACTCTAGGTCCTTAGAAATAATCATCTATCCTGTTTAAACAAAATATTGATTTTTATTTTGGGTGATTCTAAATAACTTTATCATCAAGTTAAAATTTTCCATCACTTTTTTTCAGAGTATTAAAAAAAAAAGCTCTACACGTACTAAAATCGCAAACAACTGAGACAATGAAAAAAAAAAGGTAGTGACGAGGTCTCAGTGTTCGTTTGGTGTATACCTGCTGTAGCTCACATTTGTGGAAAAAAAACCACAATTTTTTCTTACCGAAATGAGGAATTTACTAAATTCAAAGCGTCACGCTGAACGTAGTGGAACCCCTGAAAGCTTGAAAAAGCACAAATGTACACGTGATAAGTATTCGCGTCGCGTGCGACTGAAAGCGAATCTACATATACATTTTTAAAAATCAATCCTTTCAAAGAAGCGCGCTAAGAGTCTCGAAGAAAAAAAAAGTGCGTAGAATTGCGCGTGCGGGAAATACAAAAGCCACGTACATCGGGAGTACCAAACCCCGTCTGACCTAATACGGTGTTCTACTACTGCGGGTTAAATTATTCTCAGTGGTGGCAGCAGTATAGTACACCCATTCCAACGGTTTTTGCACCGCATGAAAAAGGGAAAATTGAAAAAATTGTCGTCCATCGCCAATCATTCCTAAACGCACATTACGCGTGAAGAATCGTGTAAAGGCCACTCACCCTGAAACTCCTTCCTGGCCGCGCTGACCGAAGTGACGATGTTGGCCACGTGACCGAGCACCGTAGCGAACAGCAACAGCCCGAAGAGCAGCTGCACTATCACGTACACGTACTCGCCCTTACTCCTCGGCCTGGAAGAAACACATTTTCCCGCGTAAGCATAGCGTGCAACGCCCCTCACTTCCAACGCTTTACGACGCGACAAATTTTACTTATACACCCAGCACTGTCGCGCTAAGAGAGAAAAACGCACTCATGACCGTGGAAGATTTTAACACCCCAGCGGACAAAGAAAGTGGGGTTGAAGTTGCCGATGTTGATAGTCACCACCGGGTGTACATTGGTGGCAAGGTTTCTTTGACCGGGGGAGGGGTATTATTTCACAAGACAGCGAATATTCCTCTGTAACAGAGCAGGCACGCCGAGCGCGACACGATCCTCTAACGAGACAACTTTTACAAAGGACAAAAAGGATACCGCGCTAGCTCGACTTTTAATTAAACATTTTCCTTTCACTCCTGGAAAGGGATGAAAATAAGTAGTAGTTGATTCGCCATTTGGGCGTGAAATATAAAATGACAAAGAACAATAATTAGAAAACCTCACCTTGGCAGATCCCCGATGGTCGTGAGAGCCAAGGTGCACCAGTAGTAACTCTGCAGGTATTGCTTGACGACGTCCGCCGTCTCGGAATCGTCAAAGACCCAGTTCTTGCTCCCGAAACCGTTGTTCTTAGAAATAATGTGATAGAGGCACCCGTTCCAGTGAAATATCACCAGCAAGTAATGAATCAGCGAGCCCGAGCGAAACAAATTCGGGTAATTCGTGTGTCGCTCGGTCCGATCCATGAACGCCCAAAACCTGTTATTTAATTTTTTTTTTCATGATTTTTAAATCAAAAGCATTTATTTATTTTTTTTTTCTCTCAACCATCAAGTTAGATCGATACTTACCGGTATATTTTAACGAGCCTAAAACTTCGGAGTATACTGTTAAATCCTATAGATAAGTACAAACAGTCGAGGGGCAGGAGGCACAGGCAGTCTATGTAAAAAGTCGTGCTGTTCATGTAGTGGGTGCGCAGTTTCGTGGCGTCGGTCTGCAGGACGCCGTCCTCGAGGTAACCCGTGCGAAAGTGAAACACTATGTCTATCAGGTAGAGGAAATCCGACAGGTAGTCGAGGCAAAACCACACCACTATCGTCTCCCCTGCAAAATTTTTTGTTTCATATAACAATCACCTCTCCTGTTGGTAGTTGTCAGCATCGATCGCTGTACGCGCCCAAAATTCTTTGGTTTTTGGTTTTTCACCTACACGAGGTTTTTATCAAATTTTTTCAACCAACTCCATCCGATCCCGAGAATTTTCACGCTCGAGCTTCTCCCCGATGGAGAGAATAATCGTTACGAAAAAGTACACCCTTTTTTCCAACAAAATCAACTTATTGGATTTTCCATGTACGCATAGATACCGTGTGGAATTTAATAACCGGCAACTCAAACGTGCTCGTGTGCATGTGAATTTCCAAATTTCCAAATTTGCTGATCAAAGAAGTAAAAGTATAGAAGGAAGACTAACCATTGATCTCCTGGAAGGCGAACCTGTAGATAATGACCCAGAAGTTGTAGAGGAAGGCCAGCGAGACGACCATCGACCAGTAGTAACAGAGCCGGCCCGCGGGGTCGAAGACGAACGACCAGTTGGGTGCTCCGGTCTTGAAGCCCCTCGAGCCCGACTGGCCCGGGTAGCCCCGGCTGCCCCGCTGCTGCTGCTGTTGCTGCACCGTGTAGCGCCTGAAGTGTTCAACAGCACTAGAGTGCACCAGTGCAGAGAGAGAGAGAGAAGCGCATGCTCGTTTAGCTGGTTGCTTTCGTGCTCGTGGAGTTAAGGGGGGGGGGGGTCGATTGTCGCTACGGGGCACTACGAGGCGGGGGGTGTGCTTTTTGTGCGGGATTTTGGTAATGCGGTGATTGGGTTATCTCTCGGGGGTACGGAGATTCAGCTGCTCTGCGTTTCGGGATGTGCCAAATGTCGCTTTGAATTTGTACAAAAATGTAGCAGTGAAAAAAAAAACTACTTTTTCTTTTCTTTTTTTTTTATCATAAAGAAATCGTCATCCATGCTCTAAAACGGATGCGTCAACTGTCACTCTATCCGTAATTTATCTAGAGCTTGGTAAGCCCTTTCTTGATGTGCTGTAAAAAAAAAAAAAGTAAAAAAAGAGTACGCAAGATACTGACGTTTCGGTGCCATTGCAGACGCCACTGCTGCTGAGATGGTTGATGGACGCCGGGGTGTGGAGGTGGGAAGGCGTGCCGGCTCTGCCGGGCGTCACGGCATTTAACTTGAAGCGGCCCCTCGGGTGGTCCTTGCGCCGGGACTTGTGACTCAGGTCGAGCTCGCTCGCACCGCGGTTCACGTAGCCACCCTGCAGTGAGTCCCGAGACGAGCTGAAGTAGCGCTGCAGGACACACACGGGTAAATAATATACATATTTTATTTTATTTTTGGCGTATTTGACATGTTGACATTTTTGTTTTCCTTTCGAATGAGATGCTAAAACGACCGTTTTGCTTAGCAATCACGAGTTGACTCACCTCGCTCGAATGAGTTGAAAATTAAATAAGTAATTTTAACAGTTATATGTGCAATACCTGCTGCTGATGGTGAAAGTAATGATGAGTGGGCGTGTGCCGACCCGAGAGCTTGTTGCTCACGTAATCGAAGAGGTTGGGCTTCGACGGCATCGCGCTCCTCGATGAAACATTTTCCATGCTCTTGGCGTCTTCATCGCCTCGCACGTGCGTCGCCCGATACCGTGGATCACCACCGCCCACGATGCCCACTCCAGATGTCACGATGCCTGCAATCATTGGACGAGTGTGATGTTACCCTCTTGGCTTTTACACATGAATTCCCAAGTTTACACAGTTCTTTTAAAAATCAAGTCCTGATTGATTGATATAACGAAGACAGGTGAATTTAATGCATTTGAACGTATCAAGTAGGTCAAACCGAGTTTGGTCGGACACAATACGATCGATGGGACTTTGTCACAAACATTTTTTGTTCGGGATAATTAATACGGACTGATCTCCGCGGAGTATTTCAGATCGTACAATCAGTAATTAAGACGGTAAGGTATACGCCTTTGGTCTCACTAAGTAGAATAATAAAAAAACATTACGATTGTTAAGATTATTTATTATTATTTTATTGTTAAGAAAATAATTAATGCTCTACAAGAAGTACATGTATGTTTAAATAATTACAAATTAAGACAGATGTGTCTAGGACGCCATAAACACATTAAGTAGAACGAGTCAAGTTTCATCAGACATAACTTAAGAGTCAAGGTTATTTTCCTAAAATGTTTTGTTTCTCGATATTAAATCGAATTGTTCTCCAGGAAATGTTACAGATCGAAACAATCAATAATTCAGACGGTAAGATATATGCCTTTGGACGCACTAAGTAGAACAATCCAATTTGGTCAGACATTATGCCGTGTTAAGATTTTATTTTATTACTTTATGTTAGGAAAATAATTGATGCTCTACATGAAGTAAATATATATTAAAATAATTGCAAATTAAGACAAATGTCTAAGATGCCCCAAACACGTTAAGTGGAACGAGTCTAGTTTCGTCAGACATAATTTAAGAGTCAAGGTTATTTTCCTAATATGTTTTGATTTGGAAAATGAATACGGATTGTCCTCCAGGGAAATATTACAGATAGAAATAATCAATAACTCGGATGGTATGATATAATGTTCTTAAATGAAATAAGTAGAATAAGTCGAATTTCATCAGACATCATGCTGTATTAAGATTTTTTTTTCAATATTGTTTGTTAGGAAAATAATTAATCAGTGTTGTACAAGGAGTGAGTATAAATTGAAATAATTACAAATTTATGAAGACATATATGTTGGACGCCTCGAAGATATCAAGTAGCACAAGTCAAGTTTCATCAGATACAATTTGGGCGTCAAGGGGATTTCCCTAATATTTTTTTTTCTTGAAAATAAATGTGGACTGTCCTCTGAAGAATAATTACAATTAAATAACAAAGAAATAATTAATAACTAAAATAGGTAAAATAAATGCTTTTGTACGTGTTGAGTAGAACAAATCGAGTTAAATCAGACATATGGCAAGTATTGAAATTATTTTTAAATATTGCTAACAAGACTTATTATAAACATCATACAAAGAGTGAATTCATATTAAGATAATTTAAAATTAGTATTTATAAGACATGTTTCTTTTAAAATGTTATTCGAGCTTACACAACTTAACAACAAAAGAAAACAAATACTGATTGAAAAATCAGTTTCATCATTTACACCAAAGATCGATTGTCATTTGACTGCTCTGTTTAATTGCATGCTAAAACAGGTCTCGTATAAAGTTTGTCCAGCCCTTGTAGTAGTACAAGGGAAATTCGATCAGACGTCCGTTTCATGTAATCCGGAGTACGCCACCCGACTTTGGCTCCATAAACTTTGCACCGGTCGAATTGGAATTGAAGCTTGTAACTGTAAAGGGAGATTGTGGTACCGTAATAGCTTTATCGAGACTCCAGCCTTTGCTAAAGTTTAGCCACCTCACAAGGTTATTTACCCACACAAATGAATAGCTTCAAGACAAATTCCCGTGCAAAGGATTTTGGGTGTCAGTAGTAGTTTTTTTGCACACATCAAAGTATAACATCCCGGGAAAACTGCGAAACGAATCAGGATCTCAAAAAAAGTCGTTCTAGAAAGAACTCAATTTATATCCGTACGAAAGTCGGGTAGGCACTTGCAACATTGAACTTTCAAAACAGTATCACATACACCCGCGAGCACATGGAGCACTCGGAAACATAACACGCGACGAAAGATTTATCCAGAAAAATATTACGCCTCAAGCCCGTAGCGCAAATATTACCCGTGCAAACTTTCAGCGCCTTCTCCCCGGGATAAGCGTAAAGAGCACGAGGGTATTTCCATACCTTCCACCTCGACCTTTCCGAGTTTTTCTGGAAAACATGAAAAAATCATGCAAAAGTTTTCGTGACATCCCGGCGAATGTCACGAAAATGTTTTACACGTTGTAATGATAAAAAGGAAGGGATATGTTGTTCCGAATAAGCTACGAGGTATGTAAAAGCCCCGATGAAAAATTCAGAGCAGTAGTGGTACTATGCGCACGTTGTGATGTTTATCCTACATATATTATTATCTAGTTAGGTTACTTCTGCTTATCAACCACACGCTACTGAGCACAGCTGCTTGGATTTATAATGAGGAAAGTCACGAGTGAACATTGATATTTCTAGCAAGACATTGAACAAATAGTTAAAAACAAAACACTGTGCTTGCAAATACCGGTGTATGCACAAGTTAGCAATACCCTAAAGCAGTTTTATGCATGAGACGCAAGATACCTCTCATCAAAAACATCTATCTATCGTCGGAAAACAGCAAAGTAGAGTAAGAGAGAAGGAGAGCTGTGTTCCGTTAAACAGTTCTCAATCATGTCAATCGCTGACATAAACTTGTTTGCATAAAAAATCAGAAGCCAGGCTCGTTGGGTTCCGACAACGAAGCTGTGGGTTGAAAAGTACTTAACTTTGCGGTCAGTGCTACGGTAAACCGGCTGCGAGGAAAACGTAGCCAACTAATTGTCGCGGGTAAAAGAGGCGCGAACTTCGTTTCGTTCGTATCCTGGAGCTGACGATTGCTTTTTATTTTTGACTATTTCCACGATGGCGCAGATTTTTCGCTGAGCAACACAGGAATGAAGCTATTGCCAAGAGAACTGCTCTCATGCTTAGTAAGCGATTATTTTTTTGCGTTGCGTACACGCACCGTGGCGAGTCTGTTGCTACAACTGTTACTGCGTAGCTACAGTAGTGAATGTGCGACACATCCTTTGAATATACTCTGCTGTGAGTGTACTCTCAAAAGTATAAATGAAAAAAAAATACGAGATAGGTAAACAGAGCGAGCATTTGATGAACCCGATTATGATGTTTTTGCTAGTTATCACATGGTTGTACGCTAATGCAGTTGAACCGAGACCTGATGTCGGGTCGTTTGTTGCTTGCTGTATTATTGTTTGAGTTAGTAATAGATTGAAGGTGCAGTTCAGTTATTTTCGACGTTGTTTCGAAAACAGGAAACAGTTATTATTCAGTGTATCCACGAGCGAAGTTGTCTGTGATAAAAAACATGTCGTACACAACATGGGATATTTGGGTGGCTTTTTTTCTCTTTTGTCATCTCGTCAAAACTGATAAATTTTATACAAAGTTATAATTTACCCACGTTTATAGAATGGATATAAAAAAAAAAAAAAAAAAATTCATTCGCTTTCGACTTTTACACGTAAATAAACCAACCTTTCAAACTCTGTTTAATCAACACTACACTGCAAAAAACCTGCTAATAGAAAGCCTGTGCATAACTTACGATCAACTTTACGAAACACATCGAGTTTAAAGCCACTCCCTCCCTATTCACGACTGTCGATCAGAAGCTCGAATTTCGAAATTCAATACATTCCGAATTTCCACCCTTTCGTGGAAGTTCCAAACAATCCTGCCCTCCGCTCAGCCGTGCTTTTAATTGGTAATTCGAAACCAACAACATATGAAAACCAAACACAAACAATGGATCATGCAGTTTCGTCTCAAAAAAAAAACAGCCCCCAGCTCACCCTGACCACCAAAAAAGCTGCCTCCTCACCGAGCTGCGGTACAAAAATTACCCGTAACGCGGAAATAAAAAAAAACCCCACGTGTCTGGTTACCGATGCCCTATATTCTGTACACACACACCCACTGCAAACGAATACGCGCCGCGGGAACAATTTTCGTTTCGCGTTACCGACTGCCCTCTCGAATTACGCACTCCCTGCTCGCCTCGTGATAACCGAGAGCCTCTCCCAGTGCGCACGGTTGGCGCGCGAAATGGAAAAATAAAATTAAATCCAGCACGCGACGGCCCGGAAAATTCAATGGAAACAAAAAAAAGACACCCCCCCCTAGTGCGATTGACGAGTTCGCCGTATTGAAGTCGATTTACTTTCTGAGCGGGCGCGTTTTTCAAAATTGAGAGCTTTCAAAGTGACCCGTGCGTCTGTGGAGTACAGGGGGGATAGGTGGAGGTGTGTTATACAAACACGAGTGCAAGTGTTCTTGATTATCTTTCGATTTCACACATGTCCGGCCAAAAACGAAGCGCTGGTTAATAACGCGTATTTAATAAAACGAGGCTGCTGAGCGTGAAGTTTGTGTGGCAAAATGAAATATAAAAGACACAAAGCCTACGTTATTATCTGCTTTGCAGTTCTCCCTTGCACACTTGACGTACATTATCCAAACTCAAGTGGCGGAAAATGTGAGAGCAAGCCAAGAGCTTGATGAGTCACGACCAAATATCTGCTTGAAAAGTTGCCGTTTGGATTAACGAGAACTTCAATACTGCTACCAATACGAGCTTCCCATCTTTTTTTACGTACATATAGTCATACGATAGCCAATCCAGAGGGACAAAATAACGCTGGCATTTTTTGGCGCCGTACTTTCTTAGGATTGTTCCCTTTTGGCCAAGTTTGAAAATTTCAAAAATTCTGGAATCTCGAATTCGCAAAGAATTTTTCATTCATCGACAAGATGCCGCATCACATTGGAGGTAACTTTATCCCTGCATCAATGTGAACTCTGAAATGAAATTGACAACGAGACAATTAGGTATGGAAGCTAGTTAGCAGTACAGTTTGGCGGAAACGAGGGGCCTATGGCCGTTGCGCCCTGCCTGTCAAGTACACCAATTTATTCGGTCGATAAATCGGCAGGTGGAGGTAAAGA